TCGGCGCATGACATATCTTCAACGCTAATATTCGAACGATCACGAAGAAACAAGAACCGTGGTATCCGATGAGCGCATATTACGGCATCTCGACCGAATAGAAATGAAACTTTACGAGTGTGAGGGCTTCAGGATCACCAAAAGCTGCCCCAACGGTCATCAGGGTCTGAATCGGTCAAAAGTTTATAGATCGTATGGATCGTATGGAGATAATGTGAGAATGTGGAACTTGTATTCGGAAATCTTTAACCCTGTGTATAGAGGATCAGATGAAGATGGGGAAAGGAGGGGCTATGAGAAGACCGAGTTAGAATTGAAAGAAGGAATTAAAGGACATCATAAGAGATGAACTAGAGTGACAGAGCCCAGGCAAGCGCGACGATCTATAGGGACTGATGGATAGATCTCAAGGCTTCGAGGTCTGTCATTTGAGTATGGGTACCGGGACGAAAGGAATAACAATGCTATAGGTGATGATCTGATGGGCTGTGCTACTCAGAGATGGATGGATCTAGAAGCGGCGACTTGTATATCTAGGCACCCATACTATTTCAGGAAATGAGTATCAATCTTGATCTTCAACTTTGCCTCTTGATGCTATAAGCATACCCGTATCACGAAACCACTGTTGAGTGCTCTGGCTGAACTCGAATGGAGCTGGGGTAAGGAGCGTGCACCGCTGATTCGCTTGGTGATCCTCTGTTTGCTTGGTGATCCTCTGTTTGCTTGGTGATCCTCTGTTTGCTTGGTGATCCTCTGTTGGTGCCAAACAGAATAATCGTCGTTTACCATACGCCTCTCTTCAATCTCGATAATGAAACCTTATGATCCCCAATCGCAAAGCTTACAGCCTCTTCTTTCCACCATAATTCGACGATTTCCTTCTTTCCAAGTCGATCTACGCAACTCGGAGAGCGGTGAAGAACTCAGAAAAGGCGCTTGGCGATTGGAGCGGGGAGAAAAGCAGCTCCACTCCACTCCACGAGTACCGATCAAGGTAAGTTATCTCGCTATCGGACTATTTTCAAAGACTCTTACCCATGATGACGAACTGCTGTACGTTATGGTGTTACGAGGTTTGTCGAGTATCGTACAATATTTCGTAATAGAGTTTTTTTGTGTGTTAGTCTGGTAGTCAGAATTTGATAAAGAGATTGGAAGCATAGTTATCAAGTCTAACTGAGTTTGAAACCTGCATGTACTATAGAGTGAAGCATAACGCGGAACTTCACAATTATAACAAGAAATAGTATACGAGGACCCTTGAAACGTGGGGGGGGGGGAGAAGGAGCCTCAATTCGGATATCCGACAAAAGACCACTGCATTGGCGTGCTGCAAATTCCTGCAAAGGTAAGACATGCACATGCCATAGGCGCAGAGATCACTAGATAGTGGCAATTTGGCTTTCAACGGAGAAGAGAATCGCATCGCTCACAAGTATGGATATCTTCAGTGGCATGAGAATGGGATCCAGCCCAGAACTGCGTGCCTTTTACGGAAGTATGTGCGACGTACAATACAGTGCATTAGCGGTGGCGCTTGAAAAAAATCACTTTACCCATTGCCGCTTCAACATTTTATCATTCTATTCAACAGAGCTCGTACTGCAGCATTCCCAGAGTGCAATTACAGCCTCGAGACAGCCTGAAGACAGCCTAGTGGAAGTCGCAATATTGAAGTAGAAGTGGAAATCCGAATAGGAATAGAGAACAAAGGAGCTTCACCGCCACCACTAGATATGCATGTGGTATGCAACATGTAAGATTTTGCGAATGGGTCTTGGTATCTGCCAGTAATTCTCGTGATCGGCCGAGGTAAGGTTCGCATTTGGACGGGGTATTAATATATTTGTTACATTGTTTATGTACGGCAGCTGTATCGAAGTGGAGTATGTTCTGACTTTCGCCTATGATTGTACATGAGTAAAATGACTAGAGCACGGCAAAGAAGGAACATTGGTGGAGTATTTTGTATGTCAGAAATAATTTCAAACAGCTTCCAACTGAAATTCTGTCTATAATAAGTTGAGACACCACCAACTGAATACGGCTGGCAAGGTAAGGTTAGCCTACCAGTGCTTACTGGGCAATCTCTCCGTTTCATGTAACTTCAGGTGATCTTTGCCTATACGTAAGCCGTAAGTCTTTTCATCGTGTATGTGCCACAGGCAATGTCAGGTTCGTAAGAGATGTGTAAATGAGGAAGTGCTCTTCCTTGGCATGGTATTCGTGACTTTCTCCGGCCAGTTGGAGCGCAAAGTCAACCGATTAGAGATATGTTTCTTGCACGTGAATGCATCCCAAGAATCAGATTTTGCAACATCCTCAATACCAATTGACACTTCTCCACTGCGACATGTTCTTTGCACATCATTGCGTACAGTATACCTGAGTACTTTGCTCCGCTCATACCCTTCACTTTTGCAGAACTGTATCTGGTCAAAGGAATCTTCCGTCGAAGAAGCAAGTAGATCAAAACGAATGTACACCCCAAGGACTTATGAAGTTCTCGCCATTCCACTAATGTAGATGCATCACTCATCGCACGATTCGCCAAATGAATGATCAAATCCTATTATTAGTTTTCAAATCAGAACTAAAGACTGAACATCGCTTTGTAACGAGGGAAAGATAACGAATTAATCGCGAAACAGATCAGGCAAGGATGAATCAGCAGGAAATCGAGATCAACGATGGAGACGGGATTCATGTAATCTTGTATGTATTTTTCTTTCCTATTTTTCCTTTAACACTATTTTGAGGTCCCAGTCCGATTAGCTGAGACAAAAAAATCTTAGGGTTAGAGACAAGGAGAATCGAGTCGGGGTATCCCAAAAATGTTTTCGACGCCTCTAATAACCCTAGTAGCAAGCGGCAATGTAGCTTCGACGCTGCTAGTAGTTTGGAGACAACAGCAAAAAGAAAAAGAGAAAATGATTTGAAGATCTTCGTAATGAAGAGACCACAAGGGTCATCGAGTTTCTGAAAAGTGCTCCAGAATCAAGCCTTACATTTGTTAGTATCAGGAAAATTGCACGTAATCTTGCTGTGCGAGAATTCCAGGTTGCGTTTCTCCATCTTCGTCGCCAAAAAACTCCTCGTCAATGGCATCTGAATCAACGTCATCGCTATCTACCTCGTCTTCTTCATCGCTCGAGATATCACTCGATTGATCACCGGGAGAAGATTCACCAGTAGCTGCATTCCTACGAATAACACTAGCCTTGATGCGGTGGGGAAGTTTGCATCCTTTCGTAGTGCAAGTACCTGTGTTGCTGAAATCCGGGCATTCGTGAACGTGTCGCTCTGTGCAAGCGGTTCCCTTATCGCAGTATCCATAGATTCCGAAAGACCGGCAAACCATTGCTGTCGGTGAAACACGCACGTGGGTGTAACGACAATCCGAGTTTGAACAATTGCCCTTGGCAAAATGCAAGCAATTCGGTGTTCTTTCAGGGGTAAGATCGTGAGACAGGTCGCATGAATCTCCATTAGGACATTCACCTTTGAGAAGAAAAGCTTTACATACTCCAACCTTTGAAGGGTCGTGAATATATCGGCATTTGGGGCCTTTGTTACAGGTTCCTAAAAAAATATGTGGTTAGCTGAAACCCAAATCGCTCCTCCTCCAAAACCTAAAATACAGGAACAATTTGAAATGTGGGAAGAAAGGAGGTACCCGTGTTGGTGAATGATTTGCATGGCTCGTTGATCTTGACGACTCCGTGCTTCCTGCGACCGAGTTAGCGATTTCACAGAAGAAATGCGATAGTGGAATCGCATTTTGTCAAGCCATACCTAGTGGCTTTGATTATCCCTTCACGATACATATTTCCATTCTTGCTTCTGTAGAATTTGACACCTCCGATTAAAGTAGTCTTGGGTGTAGTATTTGCGGAAGTAAGATCACCTGAAGTAAGTGAGCATGGAACACAAAATGATACCACCTTGTGGCTTGCTGCAAACGATGAGTTCTCACCAGGGGCTTTCACAAGTTTGCTACCATTCTTTGTGACAATGAATCGAATTCCGTTGACCGTGATTTCGTAATTGGTTGTTCCAGTGGGTTGGACCATGGAAGAGCCAGAACTCGCACTTAGGCGTTGCAAATGTCTGCTCAGCTTTAACTTCTCCCGTTCATCTCTTTGTTTAAGTTTCTGTTTTCTGGTTTCCTCAATGGCTTTGACGCGAATCTGACTATCTTTCTCAAAATATGACTTGTTAATCAACTGAAGATGACGATCGGTTTTTGTGATGTAGCCAGCAGAGGATGATCGCTCGTTCTCATCCGCAGATGCAGTTACGTTTGATGAATCCGACTGTGATGGTGGGACGGAGGTACCACCGTTTAACACAAGCGTTCGATGCCGCACGATGCCAGCACCGCCTCTTCCGCCTCGGTATCCTCTCGCAGGATATGCGCCCCTATGACTACCTCGACTACCTCTCCAGCTACTGTTTGCATAGGGATGGTATGCATAAGCTCCATGACCCCCTCGAGTATTCGATTGTGAATGGTAACCATTTGTAGGCGCAGGGACATGTGTTTGATTATATGGATCGGTTGACTGGTTGTTCTTGTGTTGATTTATTTGACCTAAATACTGTATAAGCTTATGCCCAAGTCGGAAAAAAGAAACAAAGAATGTTTGTCTTAATGATATTGATAATGGGGTACTGTACCAGCTAGACGACTGATTTGTTCTAAGATGGCTTGGTCTTCTGAAGCCATGGTTGAATGTTCCTACCAGTTAGTATATGAATGGAGCTCTGGTATATTATCAAGGCCCTGAAATAATATTATATCACAAGATTTAAATTGTCAGTAAAATGGGCGTTTGTTTGTTCGTGGAAGGAATTCTTGTAATCAGTAAGGAGATAAAAGAGTACCTAGGTAGTACCGTATAAGATTTGTCATCAAACCACAAACGCCATTACTAGCGTCAATCGGCAGTCTGGCTCAATATCCGACAAGGCTGCGACTTTTCAATATCATTATTGATTGAAAGGCAACTAACAAAGAACTGTTGATCTAATATTTGTTCTTCCTAATAACCACAAACTACTTACCTACCAGAAGGACATCCAGAGGAAACCTCAAGTTCCAGAGAAGAACAACATCCCGTTTTGGTTTTAATAATCACTACATACGTACAAAATGACAGACGCAGTCATTAAGCCCGACCCAGAGGCAGCGGTCGCATCACCCCGGTTCATGGAGGATGATGATATATATGAGGATGCTGGAGATATGGCGATCAATGAAGACCCTAGTTTTCAAAAGTTATGGTTAGGTCGTGTTCCCAAGTATGTTTGGAATGCATGGAATGAAATGAGTGAAGATTTGGATGAGGAGATACAGATTGGTACCATTCGCAATTGTCGAGAGAGAATGCCTGACGGCACTATCAAGGTATGGGCACTACAGTTTTGCATTCGAAAGTCAGCTAACTTGTGCTATAGGACTCTTATTCCATGTTACTAAATTCCAATCTTGCCCAGCATCAGACTGTTCCCAAGGAATATAGCCTTGATATTACCAACTCGAATGTCAAGAATACTTTCATTTTCTCGGAGCAAGATCTCCCCGGATTCAAATCGAAATCAAGACAAAAATTTGCTTTGGAGACTGCAAATATGCCAGCAAGACTAACCCGTGGAAAGATTGAGAAGCCGGCAAACAAACAACCATGGGATCCCAATAAGAAATTTCAACCTCAATTTCGAAAGGCAATTCCAAGTATGTTAATACAACAGTCATGAAGTCGGACTTTGCTGACAAAACTCGAATAGAGAGAACAAACCTTTCCGGTAGAGTTGTACATGAATTGAGCTGTATTGCCGTACAAAATGAAGAATCAGATCGTCTTCTAGCCATCAGGACTTTGGAAGCTATGAAACCTAAAGTCGGCACGAAATTTCTCAATGAGGATCTTGATGTGGGCCAAGGTTTTATTCAGCCTGGTACCATCAAGGCTTCGGATGCTTATAGGAGCTTCATTGTAAGATATACGACTCATACCTAAATTTCTCTGCAACATTTGTACTAACCTAATCAGAAAACCAAGAGTTCCACTGCTAGTGGTAAGCCACAACTTACCAAGACCGCTCGTATGCCAGAAAATGAGCTTCTGGATAAGATCTTCGAATGTTTCCGTGAGTACAATTATTGGTCCATGAAAGCACTTCGTGCCAGACTCCAGCAACCAGAAGCATATCTTCGTGAGACACTCGAGAAAATTGCTTTCTTGGCAAAGACTGGTCGTTTCGCAACACAATGGTCATTGAAGCCTGAGAACAGACCTGACAACTATGAGGTTGCTGCTGGCGATGCTATTGCACCTGGCGAAGATACAGACCTTGGCGACGATGACGAAGATGATGATGAGGATGTCAAGTTTGAAGACGTCTAATTGTGTGACTGATCTTGCAGTATGTATTCTACGGCGTTTTAAGGGGCAAGGTCGCATAATTACGGTCTCATGCACATGATCAGGTTGACATACGGGAGAGCATAATGGCATGGCGTTACAATTGTCCTTCGTGGATTTAGGTTGGTTAATGGCGGAACTCATTTGTGAGCAGAGATCTTAAATTGAGTTGTAAATTATCATAATATCAAAGCAAAATTTACGATTGATTCATGTTCCGAGTACATGCCGATTGGGAATGATCTCGGCGGGTATCACTCTGGATAATCCGATGTGGCACTCAATGACGAACGAACATTGAGTTTCTCAAAAACTCATTATAAGTTGTTAACAATTTCTACGTAACTATCCACACTTGAACATTCACATAGACGTCTATTTTTTCACCATTCAATTGTAAAAGTATGCTGGTAGAGGCTTGACCGTTTCTTTGATCTGCCAGATTGCGAGCCATTGGCTTTCGCATTCCGTCATTTTGTCTGGCACCCATCTCCACTCTCACATCAATAAGAATTTCAAAAAATGGCAAAACTAACAGGAAGGATTGCCTTCAGAGCAATTACTCCTAGTCCGCTCTGTAGATTCAGTAGAGGCGTTGGAATGTCGGCCAGCTTTGCTACACCCATGCGACGATACCAATCTTCATTACCAATGGCGTCCTTTCCTCTCAAACGTTCCCTCCCCAGGCCGTCGCGTAACTACCAAATACCTATACGACTCTTCTCAACAACTCGACACATCGACTCGTCTCCTAAATTTACATACGGTATCTCAGCATCATACTGCGCCAAAGAGAACCGATACGACCCTACCAAAAACCTCACACCCTTCAATTCCTATAATCCTATCCCCGTACCTCTCAAGCCGGTCAATCGCAGGCCTGCCTCTGGCCAAGATGCATTTTTCGTGGCACCCATATCTAATACCTCAGATATTGCTCTTGGAGTCGCAGATGGAGTAGGGGGATGGATTGATTCAGGTGTCGATCCTAGCGATTTCTCCCACGGTCTATGCGAGTACATGGCGCATACGGCATCGGTGTCTAATAAAATAGATGAGGTTCCTATTTCTGCAAGAAGGCTGTTGCAGAAGGGTTACGATTTAATTTGTGCTTCGGGCAAGGTGCGTGCGGGGGGAAGTACGGCTGTTGTGGGAATTTTCAACTCTGGGGGAAATATGGAAGTTGCAAATTTGGGGGACAGTGGATATATACAATTGAGGTCGGGAGCTGTGCATTCGGCGTCTGAATTTCAGACGCATGCTTTTAATACACCGTATCAATTAAGCTTGGTGCCAGAGGCGGTGATAAGACAGGCGGCGAAATTTGGGGGACAACAATTGATGGATTTGCCAAGGGATGCGGAAGTCATGAGTAAGGAGTTGAAGCATGGAGATGTGGTTGTGTTTGCTAGTGATGGGGTTTGGGATAACCTAAGTGGAGGGGATGTACTGAGGATTGTGAGCAACAGAATGCAGTACAATGGAGTTTGGGTCAATGGGGCAGGGGGAAAGGGAACCGGGGTGGGAGAAAAGCTTAGAGAGGCAATAGAAGAGGGCGATGACGGATCGGCAAGTTTGAGTTTGCAGAGTTCTTTGGCTGTAGATATTACCGGAGAAGCTAAGGCGGCAAGTCTTAGTTTGAGGAGGGATGGTCCATTTGCAAGGGAGGTCCAGAGGAGATATCCAGATGAGAAATGGAGCGGCGGGAAGTCAGATGATATTTGTGTTGTTGTAGTGGTGGTTGCAGAGGAGGGGAAATGAGCGCAAGATCAAGATGACAAGAGATGGAAACAGGATTTTCAGAAACAACTTTTGTATGATACGGTGGCGGTACAATACGAGGACAATTAGAAGGTTGGGGAGGGGCTGGCATTGTGTATATACCTCTTGCATGGAAACAGGCGGGTGGCCGACATCCTTAAACGGTCATTTAGATTGTAGAATGCTACGCAGCGTATAATGATTTATAGAGTGATGGTTTACATACAGATGCCTTACTATCGCTTTCAACCTGAACCTTTTCACAATTTTGGGAGATAGATAAGACAATATATGTTAATTTTATGATATTTGTGATGTTTTTTCTTTTCTTCAGTGCATTCCCCCCTTCATTGTGCACAAGGTTTATATATTCCCGGCGGACAATCAGTATGCCATTCCATCACCACCGTCAGCCACGTAGTCCACAAACCCAGCATTGCCACCATCCCTTCTCAATAGATATCCGAATCTTTCACTATTGTTACCTACCCATCCTGGGATATCACTATTCTCCATCAATATCTCATACTCCTCACCCTCCCTATCCCACAGATCCAAACCCTTCCTGACTCTATCTACTATTCTGGCTTCATTCCTAAATACCTCCCTGTTCAGAGTTGTATGCGAAAAGCTTGCCATTTTATTCAACGTCTCCGCAATTGTTGAAAAGCAACTCGAACAATGCCAAGACGCGTTCGCCAGATTTCTCTTTTGAAAATAGTTGAAGAGTCTGAAACCACCTTCTCCATTTCTCAGATCGGCTGGGAGAATGGTTTTAGTGGGACCGGCGTAGATTGTTGCTTGAGGATGAGGCCACTCAGGACCTTTATGCAGAAACTGATACCCGTAGTAGTAGAAGCGACTGCTAAGTGTGAGCCGCTTGTCAAAATCACAAGCTCGTAGGAGGCCAAGAGTCTCGGGACGTGGGATCTCATCAATGTCCGAAACGAGGAGGACATCTCCAATGTTTGCGGCTTTGGTGCCGTCGAGCCTTGGTATCACTTGTGTGAACATGGCATTGCGCTGATGATCTTCATAATCCCATGTTCGCCGAGAAGTCAAGGGCCGGTTCTCAAGAAGATGATAAATTATCTTCGAAGAAAATTGAGAAAAACGTGACTGGTTGTCGAGAAATAGAAGAGGTTTGGAATGCCCGGTGAAAGTCATATTAGATTCAACTATAACAAAATAATCGACATGGTCTGCAAGGGTGTGGAGACGAATTTCGAGCCAGTCGAGCTCAGAGCTCAGCATGAATAGATCATAGACCTTTCGAGGTCTTTCAGGTTGATATTGACGCCAACCTTGCGCCTCACATATATTGTGACGTGAGTTAGTTGTCTTAGAAGAGAACCCAAGCTGCGATATGTCTGAACTGCTGTAAAAGAATGAATTCAAGACCAACAGAATCGCAACACAAGGCAACAAAGTCAACAATTTTCGAAGCAAAGCTCCAGGAGTTCTTCTCATGAGAGCTACCATGATCCCCTAGATACCGAATGATGCTGATCATTCATTCTCTCAAGTCTAGAGAATTACTACTGATGTGACAAAGCAATACCTGTCTAATAAATGGTTGAATGAAGTTGGTAGACGTAAGATCTTACAATAGTCACCAACAAAGTGATATAGCGACGCGCCAGAAACGTTTGCGCAGCAAATTTAAGGAATCGAAAACAATAGAGAAAGAAGTCAACGCCTCCAGTTATTGAGGTCTTTGACTGCGCTTACCTAGTATTTATTACTTACTTATAATAGAAATTAGAAAGAACAAATTGATTCACTGCCTCCTTTCAACAAATGATCGCGAGACAGGGGAAATATAAAACTCTAAATACATATTCGGTTGAAATGCTACCTTGGATCGGTTTAGTGCGAAATTATTACTAACCTCATAATAACTTACTGTTAATGCTGTTATCAGTGAATCGCCAACTACAAATCAAACTAACTTATGGGTTTTCTGAAAATAACCCGAAACTTTAGGGTTCAATCATTTTAAACCATGCACCAACTCGTATTTTATATTAAAAATAAAATCAATAAATGGCTTATGAATACTTTTCTGGGATACTCAATTCCGGCCTGTTTTTTGTTACTGGAGAGGGAGGTTACATTTGGTAATCCATTTTGTGTTGTCTGGACTGTCTTTTGAAGATACTTCTATTTAAGACTTCAGTTCACGACGACGATGAAGTATGAGGATGAGTAGGTACTGGATCATTAGAGTGAAAATTTCAAGCACTTCCTGAGCAGGACATTCGATAGCCCAAGTGGGAATCGATCTGAGTGATTAGAAGGATTGAATCTGTCTGGAAACAATGAGTCTATACAATATATTCAATTGATCTTGTCTGCTCACAGCCCTTCAAACACGTAGAGGTTACTTCCGGTATGCTTATCCGGGGTATAGGGATATTCTGTTTCTAGGTTATCATGTGAAGCTGGAGTGAGTACTTCAGCATGATCTAAGATCGTATGCGCGGCGGCTCCATGATGTTTGATTCTATACCTGAGTACAATCTCTCACTGGGTAGTAATCAGTCTACCACTCGGCCCAGCCCATTCGTTGGTATTGTTGTCTTCTTTTGAGGCTTCTATTCACTACTCTGTGATGAACATTTCATCGCCTTTCCTTTTTGCCAACAATCAAAAAGTAACCATTTAATCACAGTTTTTTTGTTTTTGAATTGTTAATAGTACTCCAAAACTAATTGAGTGATCACTCTTTCCTTCCTTCTTTCCACTTTTCCCTCGATGGTTACTCTATTTCTTTGTTGCAGCTCAGTATCTGTCATCTAGAATCTTACAAGATGTTCTTGTAGTCACCTGGATGACTGGAAATATGTATTCCAAGAAAAACCGTCCAGTAGCCTGTACCATTCCATGGCCCACTTTTGGATCTATCTTTCGAGGTGCTTTACAGATTCTCGGTGAGTGCTGTTGATATGCAGGATTCAAAAATGCATGTGAATGTTTCTTGCTATTGGGGGTATCTTGTCCTAGACGCTTGATTGGCACTATATGTTTTACATTCTCAGCGTCCCCGCTTTCTTCTGTCACGTTCTAGTTTGTTTATTCCTTTCCAAATCTCTAGACAATCTTTAAATATCAAAGACTCCCTCTACCAAACCAAAATTACTTTCTATTGACTTTCAACCCTCATTGCCTTCTCGGTTCCCCAATCAAATACATATCCGAACACTGGGCAACAGAAATTCGATTTCAGTCACCATAGCCAACAGCATTCAATTTACGGCCTTTGCCTATATGCAAGGATCTATATCGAAATATTTCATAGAAGTGTATGGATTTAGTCAGGTACGGGCAGGCTTGGTACATATACTCTTCGTATTAGGTTCTTCAAGTGCACCTTTACTTTTTGGTTTGTCCATCTCCCATACAAACTTCCATTATTTATCCCCAGTTACCCTATCAATCAACTTGAGACTTTACAGGCCTTGTTTATCTACTGTAGTTAGAATCAAGGCACATAATTACGACATAGCATCCCGCATCTACAATTTCCCTTCTAATATTCCAGCGCTAGAGTTAGTCAAGTATTTGACAGAGAAAGCAAGACTCAAGACCATGTGCACGATGATTGGGGTATCTGATGGGGATTCTCGAATATGTATTAAGTTTAGAGGGGCATTGGGTATGAGTTTCTCATCTTCCCCGCTAATAAATGAAGCGATACTTGAATTGCTGAGAATAGTGAAGGCATTGAGATGATCTATAAGCCAAGAAACACCCTGAGAGAATAGTTGCTAGGCATTCGTTGGTTACAGCACGCCTCGGCCCCATTAACATGTCAATTAGTTATCGGAGCAACGATGACATTAATCTCTATATTGTGTTCAACTCCATTAATCACTTACGCAAATGTTTGCACATGAAATGATCATGATTAGCATCTCCGCAGACCTGCTTAGTTCTCAAAATTGACCTCAACCCACAAGAATCTTTCAAAGCGCTAGCCGCTGTCTTCATGGTAAGGTATTTCTTTGCGGCCGCAGGACTAGCTGGCTGTAGTGGGAATTCCGATTAAGAGTAAGTATTTATACACCAAACTCATCTCTTGCCTATAGCCCACTAAGCTCGTAGATCTTGGACTACGCTGGATATTCTCTATCTTTGCAGGAGCCTGTGTGGCGTGTATTGCATTAGTGTGGATGAGAGATGCGGTGGGCATTGAAGTTGAGGGTAGAGAAAAAGAAGATATTAAGAGAACAGAATACAGAAATAGAGTTAGAAGAGAATCAGGAATCAGTAAGAGCATGAGACTGAGAGTGTGGAAATTGGTGTTTCTAGGTTAGACTCTGTGATGATAGACGATGTCAGGAGCTTTCGCTTTCTATATATGTAGACGGTGTTGGATTACTTACCTTCTCGGGGTTATTTGAACTTGATGGTAACGAGAATTTGTTTGTTGGACTTTGACCATACATTTGTCATGACATTTTGCAGAACGGGGGAAGTAAGCCCAGGTACCTTGAGCACTACGACCCGTACATCAAATTGGTATCCAAGTATGTATTTTGGGGTTGGTTCATCTAGATAGTGATGATTTGATAATATTGACGGATGGTACGAGGATCCTGATATGCGGCTGAGAACATAGAGAGATGAACTAGGTAAGATGGAAACATTGCAATAAGCAATTGCACACAATATCGAACGAGCCCGTGATGAACGAACAATATAAAGTGTAAAAAGTATTGATGATTGCCGATTGTCGAGTTAAAAATGTAAGATTACATTGCTTCCAAAATGGGTGTTTCGGATGAGGCACAGGAGGCGAGGTATTATTGAAGTTTGCTGCTTGTTGGAAAACGATGCTTTGCACCGTGCCGAGGGTATGCAATGTCAATGATCGGGAGTTAGAGGCTTGGGATATCGGAGACAACCCGAAATCTGCCGAACTATATTTTGTACGTCGTACAGATGTAGCTACTGATTCTGTTCGTGATATAAATGGGTACTTGACAAAGTGGGTAAATGCATTATTTGAATCTCTCTGCCGAAAAGGATGAGTTTGATTTGAATTCACGGAGATGAGGATGAGCCACCATAAACTCGTAGAATTCCATTCCTTACTTACGATGAGGAATTTACGATGAACAAGCACCGCAAATTATGCATGACAGTGAAGGATTAATTAATTCTACTGAACCCCGGATATCTCTAACGTGGGTGCTTACGACAAGCTTCGAAAGAGGCGAAGACGTGCTATGAATAGCGTAAATCCTGTACTACATCATAAGGTTACACTGACCTTATGATATGTAGCGGCGATGTCACGATATTGATGATGCTGATGTTTCTGGGAAATTATGATGACTTTAATGATTCCGGGAAAATTGAAGGGTGCAAGGCAAGTTGCAAAGGAATGGATGTCTAGGGGATTGATCTGTACGGCACAACAGTATTGGGCCGCAGCGTGACCAAGCCTCGATTTGATGGTAAGAGAGTATCTTGACCTGCCTTGTATGGTAATCAACGTCTAAAGTGTTAAGAAAATACGTAGAAATAGTACTTCCCATATATATCATTTGATGAGCTGTGATACACATGGGGAGGCGGAACGGGAAGGATGTACGATTTGTCGAGCTCAGATGGTGGGGATGTTTGATGTTTTATGTATGTGAAGTACCACGCGTTATTGGCAAAAAGGGGGAGGTAGTTAGGTTGGCTCGTTGGCTCGATGGGCAGTTGATAGTATAAACTCGTGGACGTTCTATAAAGCAATTGTCTACCCGATTGATAGGGTGGCATGGATAGATAGATAGAGGGTGCGCACGGTGTTTTGTTTGTGTGGTGGTTGACAAGATCTTCTGGGTCTCATCGATGGATATCAGGTTTCATGCATCTATAGTGGGGGCTCATCTACATGCAAGAAATACATGAGCAAACACAAATGCGACTCGTGTTGTAGATAGCAATCTGTTGACATTGAGGGATAGGCTTACGTGGAAAAGACCAGATGAAAATATCAAGGGCAAATCCGAATTGTTTGATCTTTGATGTTTCCATCAGATCTTGGTGTTTCAGAAGAACGTGAAGTTTTCCTTGGATGTTTGGATATCTGGATCCTTGAGAGTCTGATCGGAGCTTGAAGAGTGAGATGAAGGAAAGGATCCTGGAAGTATAAGTTCTTCGGTAGTTTTTCCGTCGTTCATTCCCTCATTCCCTACATGAGAGCAAGCCGATATATTCTTTTGCCTGGGAAACAATCGAGGGATGGAACAGAATCATAGATCCTGAGTAGACAAACGAATTTATATCGAGTCATATATGTAGATCAAATCATCACAAATCACTCACATGTTCGACGAACCTCCTTTTTCTAATAGTAAAGTCCCATATTGGCGAAAAGATGTACATGGGAACAATACTCTCTTGCAGCATCTTTCTACTGGTGATCATTCCACCCTTAGCCTTGCATATATTTGATTTTCCTTAAGCAATCCGAGCACGATTAAAACTTTCGCTTAATCCCGACCAGAAAATATCTTGGCAGCTTACAAAGTTTAATTGGTCTACTCCTTCAGGAACCATCACAACCTCAAACACTCTTGTCAAGCATCCGATTTTTGACATGAATAAAGAGCCCTTACTGGCTGCGCCATCCATCTCCCCATTCCCCTGTCGCAACAATGTTTCTCGAATCTTGAGCTAAATCCCACACTTCAGATCAAATCATCCCAGTGGATCCTGGTTTACCTGGGGAGAGGGAATCTTGCTCGCTATGAGAGTGGTCCATCTAGTGTGTTCCATGCTAATCTTCATCATCCACTGAATCCTCCATCGGTTTCTCACTCGCACATACATGCCTTTTTCACTCACAGCACTACATTTTACCCCTCTCTGTTCCTATAAATGTCCAGGATGGCCTGGTACATTGACCTCCTAGTTCTCGAAGCTTACCCCCCTGCTATGAAGTCTACAGGGCACTGACTATCTACGGAAACGCCATGAAAGAGCTGGACTGTTTGGGACAAAGAGCTCTAGAGACATCGAAGGAGAATCCTTCATATACGTGCTTTTCTTATAATATCTCTTACCCTCTTTCTTCAGTCGAAGAGCTTTTACGTCGCTTTGTCAATTTCAAGTTTTCAATATCACCGTCACTCCTTACGCGGTGTAATTTGGTTCTATTTCTGTCATCTTTGTTCTTAGTTCTTTATCTCACCTTTGTCAATTGTGTGGCTCATTTGATAATTTCCATCTATTCACCAAAGACCTTGTTGATTAGCGACCTTGCTTTGTACAGTCATTGTCGAGTCACAATAAACGACAGCAGCTATTGTCTTTGTGCTTCACAATCACACAAAGCAAGAACAATTGCAATATATACCCAAGGGGTTTCGTTATAATTCGTGATATCCGTTTGACTCAGAAGCATTCTCAGAAACCACATTCAGATATTCTACAAACTACTTCAACACTTTCATTAAACAATTCCACAAATTTAACCTTTCAAGATTTTTGGAACAACCACACGAAGTACATTCAATCTTTACAACTACAATTATGCCTTCAACTCGAGTCTTCAGTCGTATCGGCGCTGCGTTGATTCTCGCTGCCGGCAGCGTGAATGCCGCATATACTCTTGCCGATTCATATGACCACACAAATTTTTTCTCAGAGTTCAGCTTCTTTTCTGGCGCTGACCCAACCAACGGCCTGGTCACATATCAGAGTGCTTCTGCTGCCAACAAAACTGCGCTTGCTGGGTATACCAACAACGCTGGTGTTAATTCTGTTTATCTCGGAGTGGATCACACTACCTCACTCTCAGAAACTGCCGGAAGAGCTTCAACTCGTGTTAGCTCTAAAAAAGCATACACACATGGCCTGTTCATCGCTGATGTTGCTCACATGCCAGAGGGATGTGGGACTTGGCCTGCTCTATGGAGCTTCGGGCCCTCGTGGCCTGCGAATGGAGAAATCGACGTGATTGAAGGAGTCAATGCCGGAACCACAAATCAAATGACTCTTCATACCTCGCAAGGGTGTGTCATGAGCAATAGCGGATCTGATTCCGGAACAACTCTTGTTGGTTCAGACTGCAACGCGGGTGGTGGAAACACAGGTTGTGGCCAGACAGTCAAAAACACAGCAACCTATGGTCCAGGCTTTAACGCAGCAGGAGGCGGGGTCTACGCTTGGGAATGGACATCATCCTACATTGCCATCTACTTTTTCTCCCGTACAGCTATTCCGGCAAACATTCAATCTGGCAAGCCAGATCCCGCTGCTTGGGGAACGCCGATTGCCAAATTCTCTGGCAGTGGTTGCAACATCGACAGTCACTTCAACTCACACAACATTATCCTCGACACCACGTTCTGCGGAGATTGGGCTGGGCAAGTTTGGTCAAGCGGTGGTTGCGCAGCTAGCACTAAAGCTGCCACTTGCAATGCTTATGTTTCTTCTAATCCAACTGCATTTAACAATGCTTACTGGATCATCAACTCGATCAAGGTCTTCTCAAGCTAAGCTGCCAAGGAAGACATCACTCCTATGACATTCGAGTCATAGATGAGCTGATATCTCGAGGATGCTCTTTGCTAATTCAATATTTTCCTTCTTTTCACTTTTTAACTTTTTCACTTTGATACTTGTCACTTCTACACTTCACACTATGTTTTCATGAATATACCATGTACTTTAGCTCGCATCGACAGATTCTCTGGCGTTTAACAAGGAAATACCACAATTTCATTTGCACATTTGGCAGTTTTGGCAATCACAAGTATGAGGCGTAAGGGCGTTTTGGCTCAAAAGTACCCGTGGGATTGATAAATGGTTTACCTAAGATACCTATTGAAATCGGAGGATTCCTGTTTTATGTACATGCATGGTAGATTATAGACACAACACAATGCTATTTTTCCAGTAATGATTAACTCATAATATTCCGTGATATGTGTGATATGTGATTATGAAAATCTAAATTTAGATTGATGTTATTACTCGCCAAACCAAGAAGAACAAGAATTAGATGAGCAGATATGTAAACAATTTAACATATGATTTTCTTCCTATATCTTCATGGAGATGCCAAGCTTTTCCACAGAGCAGAAATCTACAGGGTAGAATTAGACCTTGATCCAAGCTCTAGGCCTTCAAGCATCAAAAATTTAGCGAAGATCGTCACTAATAAACATCACTGAATCCTTGACCGTAAAGCTTCACTCCAGTATTTATTTTCCATCTGTGTACGAAGTAAACAACAATCCTTGCCTTACCTCACGCCAACCACATTCATTCGAATCATAAATCCTTTACCATTTACAGCTTGTAGAATTTCTCGGGAAACTATCATAATGCATCCTTCTAGACAAGCTTACGTGGAGGAGGCCAAAGAAGTAAGTCATACCCCTCCAACTATAATCGTGCATACAAACAAACATCAGGCAGATGAACAAACACACCTTCACAAACAGCAGCTAACCTCCATTCCTCTTCACGCAGGATACAGGTATAGATCTTGCAGATGTCCCTCTCGACCGCGACTATGATATGCCATCCGCAACCGCTGGCATTGCTCCCGAACGTGCGAGCGCAATTCTTTCTCAATTCGATCGCAAACGTCGCGCAGCCGCTATAGCGGTCCCCACCGATGATGGACGCGTGCGCGCACGACTGAGAGAAATGGGCGAGCCTATCACATTATTTGGAGAAGGGCCAGGTGATAGGAGAGATCGATTACGACAGTTGTTGACGATTGAGAGTGAGATGAAGGCGGAAGAAGATGGAGCGGATGAAGATGGTGATGTGGAGATGGGGGAGGGGGGCAAGGACGAGGAAGCTGAAGAGGAATTCTATACTATGGGGACGAAGGAATTACTCGATGCAAGGATAGAGATTGCGAAGTTTTCGTTGCCGAGGGCGAAGAAGAGGATGGAGATTCAGAAGATCGAGAAGGACATTCCATTGAGGACTCATATTAAGTTCAGACAAGGGGTGAAGGAGAGACTCAAGGATTTCGAGCTTCAGGGAAGTCAAATGGCGGCCGAGAGACCAGTCAGTATTGTGAGAATTTCGCCAAACGGAGAATTGGTCGCGGCTGGCAATTGGGGAGGTGGAATCAAGCTACTTGGAATACCGGATCTGGAAATTAAAAAGTCACTAAGGGGCCATACAGATAGGGTGGGAGGAATTTCCTGGGCACCGGGTGCCACGATAGAAGGATCGAATGTTTCGCCTGGAAGCATCAACTTGGCGTCAGGAGGAGCGGAAGGAAAAGTCCATCTATGGAATCTGGAGCAAGATACACCTGTTTCAACGCTTGCGGGGCACAATCAGAGAGTTTGCCGAGTGGAATTCCACCCATCGGGGAAATATGTCGCATCCGCATCCGAGGATACGACATGGAGACTATGGGACGTCGAAACCACTACGGAACTTTTACTTCAAGAAGGACATTCAAGAGGTGTTTTCTGTCTCAGTTTCAACGGCGATGGATCACTTCTAGCAAGTGCAGGAATGGACAGTATTGGACGTATTTGGGATCTCAGAACAGGCCGTACAGTTATGATCTTAGATGGACATATCAAGCCCATCTACGCCCTCGACTGGTCTACCGATGGTCATCGTGTTCTGTCTGGATCTGGCGACGGTTGGGTCAAATGCTGGGATGTGAGAAAAGTCGCAAGTACCGGTGCCGTAGGTGCACATCGTAGTGTAGTTTCTGATTTGAGATGGTTCAAAGGGATGGATGCAGAATCATTGCCTGAGAAAGATGAAAAGGGAGTTGGGAAGCCAAGGAAAGCGGGAACATTCTTTGTTTCCAGTGGTTTTGATAAGGACGTCAAAATCTTTTCGGCGGATGACTGGGCGCTGGTACAGAGTTTGAGCGGACATACAGGGAATGTGCATAGTTGTGACGTAGGTGCAGATGGTAAATGGATCGTCAGTGGGGGATATGATAGAACGGTGAAGTTATGGGGAAGAAATAACGGAGAGGGTGTTTAAACGTCTATTTCATCAATTACGAAGGCGTTGGGAGACAAAAGTACAAGATTCTTTTTACACATTCAACTTCTTAGACTGGCTAAGGATTAGCTTCTTGCATACAAGAACGGCGCATCGGTGGATTGCTTAAAGCTGTAAGAGAAATAGCATAAGGCGTTTTGATTTGGATACCCGGAATATGCATGTATGTATATGGAGAGAAAATAAACATTAGAAGAGCCTCATGGAAGCTGTGAATCTGGAAAATGTTTGACACGTTCAAATATGCTTGGACTTAGTATTCGAGATGACAAATAGTGTTTGGTCATGGAAGGTTTTGAATGTAATCAGTATCCATCATCCCAGTCACTGCACCTTCAGACACTTCCAAACATTTCCTAGATTCTACTCCATAGATATATCTACTATATACCTAGTAGCTACCTACCTACATCTTCATCAATACAAAGAAAAGTAAATAGCATGAAGACATACATCATCTGACGTCTTCACAAAGGATATTTCTCACATGCTGAATCAGTTCATAGAAGTCGGAAGTTCGATGTCCATCATCGCTGCAAGTATTACTATTCCACTACGCATACAATATATCGCTAAATTCCTTCGCTGTGATCAATCCTGCCTGATATCATCTAGACAAATTGTATATGATCACTTGCTGAACTCATTCCAAGTCACTTTGAATAGAGACAATAGTGACAGCTTTTTGCAGTGAAAACGTACCTCACATCCTTCTCATCCAGAATTTGAATCCCCTGTCATATCCAAAAACATCTAGTTATACGACTATTCGAGCCCATGCAGTATTCACAGGCCAAAGGTGGTACAGCAAAATAGCCAATAAAAACATATCGATACCTATTCATAATATATGCAAATGATAAAGCGCAGCAAAACCCCAAATAACCCATATTATATGCAAATCATTATCATTGCAAGATTGCCAACCCTAAGACTCCAGATCAAAATGGGTATCGATCGCATCGCTCATTCCATCGAATCATTCCCATCGAATCGGAGAATCCTACTTCGAGTTTACTCCTCGATAAATCGAATCCGGAGCTTGACCGCACCGCAAGCTTTCTTAAATTTCCATAATGCGCTCTATTTCCCTCCCAGCAGTGCCAAGTCCCATTAAATATTTTCCTCATGCAAACACAAAATTTCAGCTCCCCTCCATCCTCAAGCACCCTAAGCAAAGCACCTCCCCCTCAGTTCCCCTCTCCACACAGCATCTGCTACAAACCATCCCCCTATGCTTCATCCCCTTCTCTCCCCAGCCCTCCTTCTCTCCAACTTCTTCTCCCATCTCCGTATCCCCCCAGCCGCCAAGACACTCCCTGATACACACCCAACAAGCTCTCTTCCCGCACCCCTCACAATTCGCAAACGCATCCAATTCCTTCTTCACAGTTGGTTTGCGTCGACATATATGACAAGCTCGTAAATCCATTCCAGATCCACTCTTCTCCTTCTCCTTCGTTTGTTCGATCCTAGGTTCGGGTTCTGAGGGTAGATATTCGACTCGAACTCGTTTGTTTAGACTCATTTTTGACCGGGGAATTAGGTGTCTGCGTTCAGATTCATGGTGCATGGCGTGTGGGTAGAGGTTGTGTGGATGTGGATGTGGATGGATGTGTGAATGTCTAGGACTATTTCAATGATCAGCCAACTGCTCACAACTCCTCCTTCTCTATTGCATTTGATCTTCTAGAGATCCAAAGAACAACCCAAAAACCAATCTACAAATAAGCAGCACATACCTATTAATCTTCATCTGCACCTCCTCATCCCTCACATCTGCAAAATTCGCAACATCCCTCCGTCTCTTCAACAGATTCACAGCTCCATTTGTACTCATATGAAAATCCATAGATGGGATATCCCAATCTTCTTGTGCTATCGAAGGCATATTGTTTCTCTGCTCGAAGCACAAATTATATCTCGCTCGAGTCTTTATACAATTCCTCGAAGATTCTCGAATCGCAAATGACAATCGCAAGTCGTTATCAAGAAATAAATTCAGGCGGCAAGATCGCTTGCAATGCAGATGGTAAAGGATAAAGAAAGGCAGAGTGAGATATAAAGAAAAACGAACTTAAAGATGGTGAGAGGGTGTTATAAGCTGAAGATATTGTAGGTAGATCGAGATCAAGGAACGAATGTAGTTTGTGTAATGAAGGGTTGAGATGAGATCCGGTTGTTTACAATCACAAGAGAGCTTCATCGGAATTTGATCGATACTCGCCGACCCGAATTGACAGGGATCACTAGAACTAGCTATATATTTTTACAGTCATATCACTTCCAGGGCTATCATAGGTAATGAATGTCTAATACGGCTGTTCATGTTTCGCCATTAACACATATTTTAATTGTAGGAGTATTCCTGCATAATTCCTAACTTGTTCTCATCTATTATCTACTCTGCATTTCTAATGTAGTAGTTATTCAATATTCATAACCCATGCCCCTAAATTGTGTCTTCTTTCCTTTCCTTTTCTCTGCTTTTCCTATAC